TATACCACATCTTCTTTATCCAGTCATCTGTTGATGGACATCTTGGCTCTTTCCACAGTTTGGCTATTGTGGACATTGTTGCAGCAATTGATTTTTATTAGCAGCTCTTCATAGAAGCTCCACATCACAGTCCAAATGTGCCAAACTTAACATAATAGACATGCCTGAGAGGCACCTATCCCCAGAGCCCACTGCATCACACCACACCATGAGCTGGGATTCAACCCCATACGGACATTTGGATTCCGAGTTTGATTCAGTAGTAAATGTGATTTTGATTGTCACTTTATATCAAGTCCCTGGGTGGGGCCATCCTTTAAAATCTTCTCTAATTGTCTAAATCTTGTTCCCTTTACAAATCCAGGATTAGACATTAAATGCCATTTGCCAGATGTGGTGTCCCCAGTCTCTTAAATGTTTGTTTATTCAACTTGAAGCTTTTCACACTTTTTAGGAAAACTGGAAGCCCATTAAAGGGTATTAATTATGTTAGTATTTGCCAGAAAACACTCGAGGAAAGCAATGGTTTTGTTTTTTTTTTAATGCAGAGCAAAATCAGTTGGATTAAAAAAGTCCTTTCCATAGTTTAACTGAATACTTTCACAAAGCAGATGTCTTTAGGTTAGACAGTCTTATATTCCCTTTTTCCACAGCAAGTTCTTTATGTCTACTGGCTCTCTTTGCCAAATTTGCTTTTCTACAAGAAACTCTGAGAATGTTCATAAAGGCTCTAAGCGTCTGGGAGTTTGGGCAGGGTCATAATGATGCAGGAATGACAATGAACAGTTTTTCATGATTCCCCATGAGTCCCATGAAGGGAAGTCACAACTGACAACCCAGCGAGTAAAGTGTGACATGACATCAGTGATGGTTGTTTTGTTCTGTTTTTGCAGGTGTGGGAGCGATGAAAGAGATGTTAGGTCATATATTTTTGTCTCTCTAAATCAGCTGATGCTTCTGGAGACCACAGGCCTAGTCATGTTGGGGGTCACTCCTCCACCTTCTTAACGTTGTTGGAAATTCTCTGGGTTCCTTCAGAACAGAGAATTCAGGAGAGGCCTTTGGTCTTCAGGTCACTGTAACCATCCCACAGAGACCTGTCCAATTCACCAGGCCTCTAGAAGACCAGATGGTCTCACAGGCCTGGTGCTGGTCTCAGCAAAGGGGATCATGCCCTGTGGTCCTCGAGACCTGGACTCTTGCCAAGATCCCCTTGCTTGATAGTGACCTCACCACCTCCCCTGCAAACCCTGCACAGGAATGGGGTGCTGGTCCCTAACATACTCAGGATGGAGCCCCCTGCTCACCTCCTTGTCTTGAGCAGATCTTTCCTCTCCAGCTCCCTCTCTTTCTTTCGTCTTGAGTATCTGCACGAGTATCACCCGATGGGGTGGACCATCTAGGAGGTGGTTTCCATTTCAGCTATGACAATTCTGTGATTCCACATTGTGTTCCTTGATGCCCACTTTGTGACTGACCGTGGTGACAACAAACTGACCATGGTCATTGCAGATCCCACCCCCACTCAGCTCCAGGCATCGAGCTAGTTCTCACTCTGCTTCTCGCCACCTGCATGGAATCAAGGGTCCATGACTGTGGGCCAGGGTGCGGTGCTTGAAGCTGCCTCAGAGCCCAACTGGTATAGACGTTAGTCCCCCTGACTCATCCCGGTCCTCGCTGCATGCCAGCTCCCAGGACTGAAGGACAGGGAGGAGGTTTCATAGAATTGAGTTGGGCCATGTTCTTCAGCTGGTAGCTCACATGCCTTCTGGAAAGCAGAAGTGTATTATACCCCAGCTGCCTAAATTCCTTTAAACCTCTTCAGACAGGCTTGCAAGTTCATTTCCATAGCTCATTAACCTCTTTTGGATAGAGTAGCTCCAAAAGATTGAAAAATGGTTTCTTGCCTTTGAAGGGTGAATTTGCGGTTCTCAGCTTTTTTATGCCATGAAGGTATTCGATTCAGGAAGGAGAGGCTGGGTCTGGTTAAGATGGCTCGAAGCTGGTGTCTTCTTTTATTATGCAGTTCCAGGGAAGGGCAGGAAGATCACACAGATTGACGAGCTGCATTGACTGCAGAGGGTCCAAGCTCTGCACGTCCTATGTTGATTGCAGAGCACGGTGATTGTCATTTGCCTGCCACTGTCTTTCCCGAGGAGCACCGTGGGAGCAGAGGGCCTGGGTTATTGAGGCTGGGAAGGGAGGGTTCAGTTGTCCTCAAGAGAGAACTGCAGTCCTCCCCAAATGTAAATGCTTAACATAGATGAATTTTTAATGGAAATCAATTTTGCTCCTCCAACAAGGCTTTTGGCTTCTTGGAAAATATAGACCGTTCACTGTTGATTACTGACATTATATTTCCTTTTCTCCCCCTCTCCCCGCACCCCCCCTCATTCCAACCTGTTGGCAGCTGTCCGTACCTAGCAGTGAAAATCACCCCCGCCATCCCCGTGGTTGGTGGCATCCTCTTCTTCTTTGTGATGGGGACCCTGCTGCGCACCAGCTTCAGTGACCCGGGAGTCCTTCCGAGAGCCACGCCCGATGAAGCCGCCGACCTGGAGAGACAAATAGGTAACCCCGAAGGGCTGCCCTTCCCCTCGGGTCCCTTCCCACGGGGGCTTGGCCGCCGTGTGGGAGGCGGGCCAAGGTGCCCATGCAGGAGGGGCAGGCAGGGCGCTGGACAGTGATGCGTAGCCCGGGAGGCGTCCGGGAAGTCCTCGTTCCCTCGGCGGCAGGACGGCCTGAGTAGGAGGTGGGATGTGAAGTGGTTGGAGGTAAGGCCAAGGGCCAGCGGTGCCATCAAACTGAGGTGCCACCATCACCACGCTCTGGGTCCTGATGTTTCTTTGAAACCCAAGCCCATCTGAGAAGTAGTCTCTGTCCTGAAAGACCCATCGCTGTAGGCGGCTGCTCTCTGTTCCCTTTATAATCATCATACTTACTGCTGGTTTCCATGCCAGAAACCTGGGGAGGTTACATCTTCCCCTGCTGTCTCGTTTATCCAGCCTAGGACCCAGAAGCTTCCTTTATTAAGGCAACAAAGATATATATTCGTGATATATATGGAGATGAATAGCTTTCATTTTTCTTAGATATTGGAACCCTGTACTGAAATGTAAAAAGTTTACAGCGACCCATTTTAAACATATTAGAACAAATCCTAATCCCTCACAGGGCAAACTTGAAAAGTTCTATTTTTAGTTAAAAAGAGAGCTTTTTCTTGCTCTTGAAAGTTTGCACTTGTGAACATGTAGCCTTGCAGTGACACGATGATGATCTGACAAGCGTGGCAGAGGGCTTGTGGTGACTCTGTGTGAACGTAAAGCTTAGCTGTTCCGCCTACTCCGTGGGCTTCTCTTCCCAGCCTCACTCAGCCAAAAGGCCCCCGCTTTCTGGTGTCACGAGATAGGAGTGTGGGTCTTGAAAGGAAGCATGTGCTGTGGACTGCCATCCCCAGGTACCAAAGCATGGCTGTGTCCTCTGGGCATCTGCCTCCATCCTTCGTCCCGGCCATGCAGGAGGGGAGCAGTAAAGGAGTCCATGATGGGAGTGTATGGTGGTGGTCTGCTGGCCGCAGCCGTCTTGTGTCCTGAGGCAGGCAGGCAGAGGAAGGAAGAATCAGCAGTGGAGAGACAGTCTGTCTCGTATCTAGTGCATCTTGGGATTTCAAGACATTAATTATATGTTAATTCATAATTTAAAGCCTTACATTTATAACATGTGAATCATTTGTAAAGGCCATCCAGGGCTATCCCTGAATTGATCATACCCAAGCAAGTTTGGGAAGAAGACTTTATTATTACATCCATTTTGCAAATAAGGAAACAGAGCCCCAAAGAGGTTAAGTGGGAGAAAGTGGCAGAGCCAGAGCCCTGAACCCGGGTCTCCTGGGTCTCAGCCTTTATTCTTTCCAGGGTGTCATGTCATGGGGAAGAGACAGGCCCAGTTTCCTTCAGAAACAGAACTGGGCCTGTGGAAACTTCATAGCCTCTACCCACATCACCTTAGCACACAGCTTGAAAATCTTCTACTCAAGTGGTACGTAGAGAACCCAGCTCTTTACACTGGCTTTGAAGCATTTTCCTGCTGTGATCCTATTTTCTATCCCACCTCTTGGTTAGTGCAAGGAGCATCTGCAAAATCAGCAAGATTAGGAACCGGGGATGATAAAGAGTGCCATTGGAATTCTCTATTATAAATGCAAATTCTAAGAGGTACAGAGTTTCTGTTCATCCTTGTTAATATTGAGGAAGTTGAGTGATCCACTAAAGTGGTTTTTTTTTTTTTTGGCTTTGAGTTGATAACCTAAGAGTGGTTTTTTCAACATGAGTATTTTTAAAACTGGCTCTGCCCCATGCCCCCAGAGACTCAGAATCTGTGAAAGTACTAGATGCGGTAAAGGATGAAACCAAATCTTGTTTCAAATGAGGGAGAGTAGAGGGTCTTTAGAGATGGGACAGCATGGCAGACGTGAGTTGCTGTACACATCCCTTCCCCAAGAGGCAACAAGAAAACTGGACAAAGTAGTCACAATCATTTCATGGCTCTAGAATTCAACTGTACTGCGGGGCAGTTATTCATGAAAATCTAGTGGACTTTGGGTAAGAATAGTGGGTGTCTATGACAGTCTCACTTGGGGCTGCTCCAATGTCCACCTGAATTCCAGAGGTGAGGCAGTTCTACCTGGACAGAGCAGACTCTGAAAACCAGCAGCTTATCTGTCTGAGGGGCTAATTTGCTTTGGAGTGAAGTATGGGAAAAAATCAGTAACCTAAACTTTCACCTTAAGAAACTAGAAAAAGGGCAAACTAAACTCAAAGCAAGCCATAGTAAGACCATATTAACAAGAGTGGAGGGATGCCTGGGTGGCTCAAGTCAGTTAAGTATTGGCCTTCGGCTCAGATCATGATCCCCAGGGTCCTAGGATTGAGCCCCTTGTCAGTCCTCAGTTGGGCTCCTTGCTGAGCGGGGAGCCTGTTTCTCCCTCTACCTGCTGCCCCCACCCCACCCCCATTTGTGGGCTCTCTGTCTCTCTCTGACAAATAAATAAATAAAATCTTTAAAAGAAAAAAAAAAGATGAGAGTGGAAATCAATGAAATAGAATACAGAAAACAACAGAGAAAATCAGTGAGACCCAAAGTTAGTTCTTTTAGAAGATTAACAAAATTGACAAATCTTTAACTATATTATTTGCCACCCCTTCCAAAAAAAGACACAGAGAATATACAAATTACCAAAATCAGGAATGAAAGCAGAGGCATCACCATTGACCCTAAGGTATTAAAAGGATTTTAACTTTATGCCACAAATTAGACAACTTAGATGAATGGACAAATTCTTAGCAGGCCACAGTTACCAAAGAATGACTCAAAAAGAAATAGGAAAGCTGAAGAAACCCATAACAAATAAAGAAATCGGCTGTCCATATGTAGAAAGATGAATTTGAATCCTTACCTCACACCATACACACAATTTAATTCTAAATGGATTATAGACCTCAATTTAAGAGCTAAAACTCTAAAACTTCTAAAGAGAGCATAGAGAAAATTTTCATGACCTTGGGTTAGGCAAAGAGTTCTCACATAGGAGTGCCTGGGTGGCTCAGTCAGTTAAGGGGCCGACTCTTGATTTCAGCTCAAACCATGATCTCAGGGTCCTGGAATTGAGCCCTGCTGGACTCTGTGCTCTGCACAGAATCAGCTTGAGTATTCTCTCTCTCTCCTTTTCCCTCTGCCCTTCCCCCTCCACTCATGCTTACACACACTCTCTTTCTAAAATAAATAAATCTTAAAAAAAAAAAAAGAGTTCTTATATAGACACCAAATGCATGATCTGTAGAAAGAAAAAGATAATAAATTGGAGTTTATCAAATTAAAAACTTCTGTGCTTCAAAAGATACCATTTAGAAAACAGAAAGATAAGCCACAGACTGGGAAAAAGTATTTGCACATCATATATCTGATAAAAGTATCTTGTACTTGTATCTAGAATATATTAAGATCTCTTACAACTCAATAATAAGACAAACAACCCAATTATAAATGAGTAAAGGATTTGAACAGACATTTTTCCAAAGAAGATATATGAATGGCCAATGAACACATGAAAAGACGGAAATGCAAATCAAAACCACAATGACGTACCACTTCACACCCACTAGAATGGCTCTAATCCAAAAGACTGACAATAACAAATATTGGTGAAGATATGGAGAAATTGGAACCCTCATGCATTACTGGTGGTGATGTAGAATGGTGCAACCACTTTGGAAAGCACCTCCCCAAAATTCCTCAAGAAGCTAAGCATAGATTACCATATAACCCAGCAAGTCTGTTTCTAGGTATATATCCAAGAGAAATGAAAACCTATGTCTCTGATGTGCATTATACTTAATACCCCCAAACTGGAAACAACCCAAATGTCCATCAGTGGGCAAACTGATAAACAACACATGGTACATCCACATGGTGGAATACCATTAAGTGATAAAAAGGAGCCCAGTGTTGACACATGCTATAACATGGATAAATGGTAAAAACACACTAAGCGAAAGAAGCCAGATCAGAAGGCTACCTATTGTGTAGTTCCATGTGTATGAAATGTCCAGAAAGGGCAAATCTGTAGAGACAGAAAGCAGACAAGTGATTGCCTGGGGTGGGGGCAGGAGTGAGGGTCGCCGCACTTGGACGGGAGAGAACTTGCTGGAATGGTGAAAAGGGTCTAAGAGTGGATTGGGGTGCTGGTGGCAGAACCCAGTACATTTCTTAAAGGTCATGTTATTGCATACCTCCAGAGGATAACTGCTAGGTTTGTAAGTTATAGCACAGTAAACTGTCCAAAAAAGAGAAGAGGAAGGGGAGAGAAGGAAGATGGAGCAGAAGAGGAAGAAGGGCCCACTCGTCTCTAGTTGTATGGCGTTAGGCTGGTTTTAAAATGGGAATAATGACACATACCCTATAAGGTTCTTCTCAGGATCGGCTCAGTAAACAGTTGGGGTTTTTGTTTTTGTGTTTTTAAAAAGAAAAATTCTTCTTTTCCCACCCAGTTCTCTCCTCGCCTTCCACATACATAGATTATCATAAAAGAATTCTCCACCTGCCACGTGATAGGAATAAATGGCAGAGCTGGTCTAATTCTTTATTAGGATTGCTCCCCTGTATTGCTTGGCTGTGGAGAATACGATTATGTTTCAATGAAATCTTAGCACATTTATTTTGTGCTATCTGACTGAAGACAGAAAAATGAAAATTAGATTTGGAAACTTATTATTATTAGTTATTAATTCTAATTATCTGTAGGAGGTCTCTCCTTACAGAAGTCCATGGTAGGCACTTGAAACCAGCCATCTGAGTAACTGAGTGAAGCTGTGCCAAGGGTGGGACCAGCTTGCCTGTCCTCGGACTTCTGGAGGGGAGTAGGTGGTGAGGAGGAGGAGGCTCCGTGTCTCAGAGTCTGTTACAGTCTCTTGAAATGCCTTACCCTTCTTTTTTTTCCTGAAAGACCTTTCCTGGTTCGTTACATTGCAGCTAAAAAAGACATCCAAGAATGGCAGTTGGGGTGTAGGGAGGTC